GGCTTCCTACCGGGAGGAGATATCCCTCACGGAGGCGAATACTGGACAATATTCGTCCGCCCGAAATCTCTTCACCTTCAGTCGTGATTGTCCGTCATGTCCGAGCCCTTGTAGACGTACTTGTAGACATACGTGATGACCTTGTTTGTGGCACAAACCTTGACGTTGATGTGGCACTTGTACTTCTGCGACAGGAACGGATTGCACGGGACCTCCCAGTGATTGATGGCTGCGTTGTCCCATACCTTTCCTTAAGGATCCTAATCCCATCCGGACGGGGAACACGCTTGTATGTGGGGTATTTGTCGGGTGTCATTACCGCTTCGGCCGCGAGCGTCTTTGGAAACCTCTTGATACAGCTTCCGTTCTTCATGCACGGGCAGCTCGGATTCGGCTGACCACAGGGTCCATGAAGCATATTGGAAATCACCGTATCATACAGCTCGGGGTACTTATCTTTATCCGGGAGCTCCGCGGCCACCAGCTTAGCGACGTCTTCCTTGGTAGTGGGCTTGTCCTCCGGACGCAGGATAAGCAGTATGTGGACGTGGGGAAGACCACGCCTCTGATATTCCACAACATGGACTCAAGCGGAAAAAATTACCAGCCCACCTTCATCGAGATTCTTGCTAAGAGCTTTTAATTTCTTCATGAACACGCGGGCAACGATGTCCAGTCGGTCGGATGCCTTTCCCCTCTGCGTAAGTTTTCCTTGATCTTAGGCCAGTTCAGGTTGCATGTCATCGTAATGAACTGGTTAGGGGATCCTGTTTCCCGGACGATAGCCATGGCATTCAAGAAGCGTTGGTACATGTAGCAGGGACCACCTGTAACCTTTGGAGGTATGATGATCTTGCGTCCAAGCTCACCCGCATCTGGCTCCGCCGACTCCTGCTCCGTATTATTCCCACGCCGAGTCCTACGTATAACCGCCTCGTCGTCAGCTGTAATTCTGTGGATTTCAACTGACTCGCCACGCAACGCGTCCGTAAGTCCCTGGAGGGTTTCCAACCGATACTGGAGTTGAATCTTCTTGGTGAAGCGCAGGCGCTCTTGTTCGCATTTGGCCCATTGGCCAACGCAGTATTACTGCGTCAGTCGCCCACTGCGCAGGGTAAGAGAATTACTAACCGTCCGATCGTAAAGCAAATACGCCTCATATTCCCGAATGGACATCGTTAACGGGTCACCGTGACAATCGACGGGATTACCAGCTTACGGGATATCATAAGCTCAGCCATTATCCCCATACGGAAACAGTAGAGGGTACTGCAGCGGGTCGTAAGTAATGCTCGTCTCAAAGATGCGCTTGAAACCTCCTCCTGTCGTGTGTAGGATAGTATCCCGATGCGCAGCTGCGTTTGTGTCGATCACAACGGCCGCCACCTCTGATGCAGTCGGGGTGTTATGCGCACCCGGATTCCCATTCCGTGCGACGTGCAAACGCAGCTTAAGGTGATCCCCCTTCGAAAGAAAATTACTCAAGGCTAATGACGGATCATGGTCATCAACGTCTTCCCCTGCCGCTCTGTGGCGTTCGTACTCCCTGATGTCTGCTGCATACGCCTCCCAACCACAATCTATCAAAATTCTACGCGCGTTGATAAATGCTTGTGTGTACGGGTTGTGCACCACCATCATCGGGGTCAATCGTTTCCATAACGGCGCGATCGAGGCCTTGCGTCATGTTCATACGGCTTTGCACACGTGCATTCATCTCTGGATCGTTAAACTAAACTTGGCCATACATGAAGCGACCGAAGGTAGGAGGCAGTGACGATCCGATGCGATAGCACACTGACCCTTGTACACGGAAGTTGTAGACACCATTCCGTGTCCCGCTTTCGTCAACGTTAAGAGGCCGAGACCGCGAAGCTCCCATGAACGTAAATGCGAATACGTTGTTGTAGGCCCGGATTGACCGCATGAACGTCGAGTTTTCGAAAAGTGTTAGAAGCGCATCAGGCGCTGTTCGCGTAGATGGAACGAACACCAGTCCGTTACGACATCAGCATCTGTGTGTCGTTTCGGGAAACTTTCAAGCATTACAGTAGTGACAAACCCGCGCGTTCTCCCGGTTAGCGTCCTTGTAACGCGTGAAGTTCTGACGGACCCCGGACACTCTGGAAGGGTAAAACCTTTCGTGGTGTACGAGGCGCTTCTTGTACTGGCGAGACCGCGTTCAA